GAAAGTGGAGAGTTGAAACTTGAAACCGTGGGTCTCATTTTTCATTCATCGCAGAGAATCTGAAAACCCTAATCTCCTCCGTGGTCGAAGATGAGAGAAATCCTTCACATCCAGGGAGGGCAATGCGGGAACCAGATCGGCGCCAAGTTCTGGGAGGTGATATGCGACGAGCACGGCATCGACCACACCGGCAGGTACAGCGGCGGCGACTCCGACCTCCAACTCGACCGCATCAACGTCTACTACAACGAAGCCAGCGGCGGAAGGTACGTCCCACGCGCCGTCCTCATGGATCTGGAGCCCGGCACCATGGACTCCGTCAGATCCGGCCCCTACGGCCAGATCTTCCGCCCCGACAACTTCGTCTTCGGCCAGTCCGGCGCCGGCAACAACTGGGCCAAGGGCCACTACACCGAAGGCGCTGAACTCATCGACTCCGTCCTCGACGTCGTCCGCAAAGAAGCCGAGAATTGCGATTGCTTGCAAGGTACTCATTAATGATCGATTCATTCGCTCCTTCTTCATTCGGTTGTTAATCTTTGATTGCTATTGTTGTTGTTGATGTAGGGTTTCAGGTGTGTCATTCGCTTGGGGGAGGGACTGGCTCCGGCATGGGGACGCTGCTGATCTCCAAGATTCGGGAGGAGTATCCCGATCGCATGATGTTGACGTTTTCCGTGTTTCCTTCGCCCAAGGTTTCCGACACTGTTGTTGAGCCTTACAATGCTACTCTTTCCGTTCACCAGCTTGTTGAGAACGCTGATGAGTGTATGGTTTTGGACAATGAGGCTCTCTATGACATATGCTTCAGGACTCTCAAGCTCGCTACGCCCACGTGTGAGTTGGTTTCTGGTTTTGGTTTTTGGTTTTGTTGCTTGCTGTGTTTGTTGAGTAATGATTGCTGGTAGTATCTGGTTTTGGGTTGAATTTTGGAAGTTGGGGTTGGGTGTCGTTGTGGTGTTGGTGGGGCCGTAGCATTTTTTTGTGAATTGTGTCTTGCTCGATGCTAATGGTGGGTGGGTGGTGGTGTTTCACTTCTGCTGTCGATTTGGTTTACTGTCGCTTTCTCTCAATGGAATGTGTTTGGTTTATCTGATAATTTTTAGCTTTTTATGGAATTTGACTTTGAAAGAATTGGTGCTGAGAAAGTTGGGTTGTGGTTGGGAATGGTGTTTTAGTCAATTATACTTGCAGTCTGGTTAGATAAATTTCTCCATAAGTATTTCTAGGAGAAGAAAATAAGAACACTACATGAAATTAACTTCTCTAAAAACTAAAATTTGTTTTAAGTTTAAGCTAATTTGTGGAAATTCTCGTGTTAGCTTCTTCCAAATATGTTTTAGTTTAGATACTCATTCAGTCTCTGGTTGAAAACATTCTATGTTAGTCTTTATATACTGTCATTTTTATTTTCTTTTAGTTCCTATTGTCTGTTTTTTATTAATGACTAAAAGATAAAGTTTACAAAATTATAGGATTTAAAAGAAAACAAATTGTATGTATAGAGATAAAATGGAATGTTTTTATTTATAAAAGCTAAAAGATAAAGTTCTTGAAACTATAAGAATCAAATGAGTATTTGAACCTATGATTTTTATCTTAAGTTACAGAGAAACTTATTTCATTCTTTTTTATTTTCTTCTCTCAAAAGTACTTATACTTATTGAGAAACTTATCGAAAAATACTTGTGCTGCTAGATTGATTTTGAGAACTCCAAAAATTTCCCTGACAATGGGACAACTCTTGTTAGTTTTTACAAATAAATTCTTTTGGAAATTGAGCTAACAGGACATTAGTTGGAAGTTCAATTTTTCAAATTAATTAATTTTTACTTGTTTTGAATACAGTTGGTGACCTTAACCACCTGATTTCTGCCACCATGAGTGGAGTTACTTGTTGTCTACGTTTCCCTGGGCAACTGAACTCTGATCTTCGCAAGCTTGCTGTTAACCTTATCCCATTCCCGCGGCTCCATTTTTTTATGGTTGGGTTTGCGCCCTTGACATCAAGAGGATCCCAGCAGTACCGTGCTTTGACTGTTCCTGAGTTGACTCAACAGATGTGGGATGCCAAGAACATGATGTGTGCTGCCGATCCCCGTCATGGTCGTTATCTTACTGCTTCAGCCATGTTCCGTGGTAAGATGAGCACAAAGGAGGTGGATGAGCAGATGATCAATGTGCAAAACAAGAACTCTTCATACTTTGTTGAGTGGATACCTAACAATGTCAAGTCCAGCGTGTGTGATATCCCGCCCAAGGGTCTTAAGATGGCATCCACTTTCATCGGTAATTCTACTTCAATCCAGGAGATGTTCAGGAGAGTTAGTGAGCAGTTCACGGCTATGTTCAGGCGCAAGGCTTTCTTGCACTGGTACACTGGGGAAGGAATGGACGAAATGGAGTTCACTGAGGCTGAGAGTAACATGAATGATCTTGTTGCTGAGTATCAGCAATATCAAGATGCTACTGCTGACGAGGATGATTATGAGGATGAGGAGGAAGAAGAGGAGGCTGCTGAATAAGGCATGTTCCTCATTTGTCAAAAATTGTTTCAAATATCAATATGGTTGGCTTTGAACGAGTGTATAAGTTTTAATTGTGGTGCAGTCAAATTAGATTGACTCGTTAATGTGTATGCTTATTGTTGATTGTTGACATTGTATAAACTGTGTTTTGTTGACAATGCTTCTGTTGTTGAGATCAAATCTTGGATGTTTGTAATGATTAATGGCAGGTCTTGTTTTCTGTTTTTTCACCATTCTCACTCTTTAGTTACGTTGATTTATAGTAATTGCTTCTGAATTAAACTATAATATTTTTGGTGTTCTATTTAATTAACATTCTGTTATCAACGGGAGAAGCTCCGATCTAACAGACTAATAATTTATCCTGGTTACGAGACCAAATTAGTCTTTAAAATTGTGTGGATAGAGTATTATTTCTTTCGGAAAATTTAAAATCTTATTCAGCTTTTGAATGTATAATATATATATATATATATATATATATATATATATATATATTTTTTTTTTTTTAAACCTTGTTATCTTTTTGTATTAAAAAGAACTAAAATGATTGTCGTTTTACAAAGTTAAAGCTAACAGTTTTAAAAAATGTCTGATCCATAAAATGTGAAAGTTTATATGATTTGGAATTTGCTGGGTTAATGGTCAGTTTTGACTTGTCTTTATAATTTTTTATGATTATTTTTACGAGACAATCTTATTTAGGTCGAAAATTATGGTGAGATTTGTTTTTCCTAATACCTAATCCGAGGATTTATATTAAGAAGAAAGATATATAATATTCTGCCGTTATATGAATTGAAAGAAATTTGTCCAGTGTCTAAAAGAAAGAATATTGAATGAAATGCTATTAAACTTCAAAAATGTAAATATAATTTATCTTAAAAGTAATGGTCTACCAATCAGCTTTTTTTAGCTCCTTGTATAAAAAAAAAAGTCAGCTTTTTTGTTTTTTGGATAACATTTAAAAGTGGGTGAGTTCGCAACTGGTTAAGCAAATAATCTTTCATGGTCCACAACGAACTGTCCAATGCCGTCTTTGCAAAAGACGTATAAAGTAGGCCTGTTTCCTAGAAATTTTAGGGTGATTTTATTTTCTCTCTACTGTTTTCTCTTCGCATCTCTGTTTTTTTAACCAAAAATACATTTTTTCAATTATTAGATGTTCCAAAAATTAATTTATATTAAATAGATTTCACTCACTAGTTTTTTTAGAAATAATATCCTGGAAATTTAGTTTTCGAAAGAATTAAAAATTTTAATTTCGGAAGGAAAAGTGAGAAACACTCTGTCAACTGGATCCAATAGTTTCCATTCATATTTGTCGTTTTCATATCCTCTACCAGAATTTGTAGGGCCGAGCATGACGTAAAACGAAAAAGGAAAATGAGAAGAGATAAAAAAAAAAAAAGGAAGAAACAAACGTAGGATTAGGAATTTTCCATGGCATCTGTGTAATGGGAATTTGGGAAGGGCAAAATGTAACTTCTCTTGGCAACTGCATGTATTCAATTATAGGAAATTTCCTTTCCGTTTATATTAAATATATTCTGAAAATTAAAATTTGGTACATTTAACTATTTGTGAAATAATGTTTCAGAAATTTATTTTTGAAAAATATTATTTTTAGAAAATAAAAAAAAAAAAACTGGGAAGGATGATGCGAAGAAAAACATCAAGTATAAATAGAATTATCCTAATTTTCATTTTCCTCGTTGAAGGTTTGTAAATTTGGTGGGCTATTAGTTTTAGGTGTGGTGGTTCTATCGCATTTAAAGGCAGCTGAAAGTCACAATCCAAACCCAAGCTATGAAGTGGGCCTAAACACCAAAACCCAAGCTATGCAGCAATGTGTTATTCTCAAAATTAATTTTCAAGATTGATATACCCAAAGAAAATTAATTGGTAAATATTAAACCCAAGCTCAAAGATCAGGAGGAGATTTTTTTTTTATTGTGTTTAATATTTATCAATTATATATTTCTAACCACCAGACTCTTTCCTCCTTTTTTGATTACCATTGATTGTACCAAACAAAATCTTAAATTTTAAAAATTGTAGACCACTAACCTGAAATATTATATGCAGTGTATCCCCTCTAATACGTACAACAACTCCAACCCAAACTAGATACCGTTGTCGTCCATTTAGAATATCCATAATACCCTTAATTATTTTATTGTCACTCGTAATCTAGTTTTAGAATGATGATTACAAATGGAAGAGTTAGCGGCTTCAACTTAATTAATCAATTAAGATTCTTTTGTAAACGACTAGCCGAATGGTGGGTACTTGAGCAAAACATATATTACTTAATTATTACCTTATTCTTACCACTTCAAAGATGACCAATTCTGTTCTTAATTATTAGGGCGGCATATTTGTGGGTTAACGTTCACATCTTCTCTACATTATTGGTTCATATATAAATATGCCCTAATGCAATGCCATATTCATCCACCAATTATCGATTAATACTACAACACATATTGCTAGTACATATTCCTGCCGCTACAAAACTCCACTTGCTATTAGTACTTTTTGAGTTCTTGTCAAATGGCTAATCTCTCGTTGTTGCTAGCAGTTTTATTATCTCTTTCACTTTCAGTTGTTTTAGCAGCTGATGCTAGTGCTCTCCAAGATTTCTGTGTTGCAGACCCAAAAAGCCAAGGTATACCAAATACATGCATGCACAGTTCACACGTATCTTGACATTTTACTTTAAAAATTTAAATACACTTTTTTCTCACCAACTTTTAAGTTTTTACAAATTTTGTCACACAACTATTAATCAAATTTACATGATTTATCACTAAATTTATAATGTTTTGCATATTTTATCATTTCATTAGTTGGTTGTTTGATATCATTGTTGACACATTAATCACACGTTAATTGCTGAAATGAATTAATAATGTATTATATGAATGATGACAGTGTTAGTGAACGGTTTGGCATGCAAGGATCCAAAACTGGTGGAAGCAAATGACTTCTTCTTCAGTGGTCTTAACATAGCAGGCAACACCACAAACCCCGTAGGGTCTAGGGTCACACCAGTCTTCGCAACTCAGCTTCCAGGGTTAAACACTCTCGGCATCTCCATTGCTCGCATCGACTACGCCCCATGGGGCCTTAACCCTCCTCACACGCACCCTCGTGCCACCGAAGTCTTGACCCTTCTCGATGGCACCTTAGAAGTTGGATTCGTCACTTCCAACCCCGAAAACCGCCACTTCAGGAAAGTTCTACACAAGGGTGACGTGTTTGTGTTCCCCATTGGACTCGTCCATTACCAGAGAAATGTTGGGTATGGCAATGCTGTTGCTATTGCAGCGCTTAGTAGCCAGAATCCTGGAGTCATCACCATTGCTAATGCGGTGTTCGGGTCTAACCCTAGCATTGCTGGAGATGTTCTTGCTAAGGCTTTTCAATTGGATAATGCCACCATCAATTATCTAGAGTCCAAGTTCTAGACATGGACATGCATGCACGTGACGTGAGAGATTGAATTTGATTCATTATTAATTGCTTTCTTGTGTGTTGGTTTATGCATTTCGATTTGCATGCTTTATTGTTATTTGTGGTCTTTCTGTTTCCTTTGGTATTAAGATGTATCACTTGATTAATTTGTGCAATGCCAGTTCAATATTGAGTACAATTTCCATGAGAATAAAAGTTTTAAGAACATTATGGATTTTGTGATGCCTTCGCATTGTTCTGTGTTTCACGTTTATAAATTTTCCTCCAGGAATTTGAATTATATATAGGAGATACTCGACCACCTCAATTTTATCATAAAAAAATGGATAGTAGATATATGATGTGAATAAAGGAGTAAATCACCGTATTATTAGTTATTATTAGTAGAATTTTCCTTATTAGTTTCTGTTTGTAATTTCATGTTATTATATTAGTATATGAAAATTTTTAAAAAATAATCCTAAACTTGTATTATGTCATTTATGATGTATGAGGTAACCTGCGTTGATGCGTCAGGTTAAGTACTACATATGTGCTTATATATCTCTCTACATGTAAGACAAGTAAGGATTAAAATAAAATATTATCATCCCTTCATTTTGCCCTCACTTTTTCCTCTTTCTAGCCATGTTCTTCACTTACAGTATCACCTTTTCTTTCTCTTCCTCTCACTCCCCCTCCGGCCTCCACAGTGTCCCTCTAAGGCTTAAAATGAAATGTTATCAACATTTCTTTTACCTTCACTTTTGTCTCTCTCAAGCTCTTTCTCTTTATATATACGGAACAATCTTTATTGATTGATACCCGAACATAAAAGAGTGTTGGATCATATTGGTGGTGATGGCTTTACAACATTGAGAAAATATCAAAGAGAAAATCATTGATGATGATAACAAAGAAGAAACAATAGAAAAATATTAATTGGAAGTATTCAAGGCTTGCGTAAAACATTAATCTTTAGGTTCAATTTGTTCCCATTAATCACTATAGAAATTGGATGCAATAGTTTGTTCTCATTAATCACTACAGAAATTGGATGCAATGGTGTTTTGGTGAGCACCCTTCATGATACAATTAATAGAGTTCCTTGACATGATTCGCTCGCTCACATCAAGCATATTGTTGATGATAATTTATAGAATAATAACTTCATTAATTATCTTGTGTTACACTCTCTATTTAGAGTTTATTTATTTATATAATGTTGCAAAATTTATTAACAAAATCAATTTTTTCTTAAATCCAAAACAACATATTACAAGTAGGGCATTACATAAAAAGCCCCTAAACAAAGTTATATAAAACTTAATTGAATCAAAATGTGTTTTTGCACCCCCAAAGGCCATTGCAAAACTAATCCTAAAACAATGTGTTCATAACTATAAAAATATATAAGAAAAGAACCAAATGTTTTAGCCTTAATGCAAAATATATAACTATATTAACATAAAAATAAACATAGGTATGAGACATAAACCTCCTTTATAACATCATTATCTTTATGATCTTTTTGAACATTACCTATGTAACACATTTATAGAAGACACACACAAAAGAGAAAGGAGTGAAATATATATCACATCTTGCTTGAGTATAACAAAAAAGTAGATAGATCAAATGTACATAATATACCATGAGATACATATACAGAACAATTTTTTTAAAAGATGGTGTTTCATTATGATGCATGAATACATAGATCAATGCACATAGCCTCACAAGGTTTCACATGGAAGCTCCTATCTCTACAGGTTAAGTTTTCATTCAAATCATACATAGAACAACATTCCATGACATTCATAATCATTTATCGTCATTTACAACTTATTCATATATGTCATTTATCATCAAATCATACGACATCATTATCAATTCATAGGTTTATTATTAGGTCAACTCTAGTATTGATTCTTTCTTTTATATTCCCTCAATCCTTAAAATTATGATAGCTTAACATTATAGTAGGGGTGGTGTACACTTTATATATATAATTTTTGTTTATAAAAAAGTTATAAGCCTATATCTTGAAGAAACAATTGGCACCACAAGGATCAAAATTATTTATCACTCATAAATAGAGGGGGAATGAAAATAAAGGAAAAAAAGAACTAGCATATTATTTTAATTTAAATGTCAAGAAAACTTGTCATGCATGCAAAGGAAACAAGGCATTATTTTGTCCTTGAACAAGAGATAGAAAATTACATGACCAAAAAATCACTCCAAATTGTTGCAATTCAAAGCATCCTTGACTTTTAGGATTGTTGAGGTTAAAAGGGTGTTCACAGCTGACATTGATTCCATATTTGGCATATTGATTCCATCTGGACTTGAAGCTAGTATTTGAAAAGCTACTGTCAATAATGAACCCCCTATTCTTTCAATATTTACATCATTAAAAGCTCCCAAAGTTGCATTTGGTTCACCATCTGCAGAGATGACAAAACCTGATGGAAGAATTGGTAACACTGAAGAGTCCTCTCCTTTTATGGCTAAATTCATAGTTGCTACATCGGTTGGAGCATATACAACATACGATCCCATGGGATTTGTAAAACTCTCTTGAAGAATTAGTGCATTGTTCTCGCTAGGGATGAATGGCTGAACATAATTAATTGTAATGAAATTAATCAAGTTTACTTAAGGAAACAATAACGAAGTTAATTAGGACAACTAGTGTAAAAAGTTAATATTTAAGCATATAATTACCATTTTTTTTCCATCACCCATTTAGTTATAACAAAATGCCTTAAATGCCAAAGTCTTTGTTGAATATAATTATACTAAAAATTAAACTAAACTTGTCTAACACCAAAATTAAACCATAAACAAAAAGAAATATTGAAATTACCTGAAGAATTGATATACAGTTGTGAGGATGAATTCCATTTGAGATGTGTGCAACCCTGTGTGTAGGATTTCCGCAACAAAGAACATCCCACTACACATATATAAGAAAATAACAAGTAGTTATTAATGATTATACGATGTAAGGTTAACTTAGGTTTAACTAAAAAATAAAATATTATTCTTATATATATATACAATAAAAGACTGATTAATTAGTTCATTTGTGAACCTGAGCCCGTCTTTTATCATCTGTGAAGAACTCAAAAACTTTCATATAATGAAGAGGAAGCCAAAGGGAGGTAGCAGCTACAACAATCATGCCATTTGGTTGACCAAGGTCTGTGTTTTTGCGAATAGAAACCCTCACCCCGCTATTATTCTCCATATTTGATTGTGGGAGGTCTAATTTACCCGACATAGTTAAACTTTCACAAAAGATCTTGATCATACGATGAGAAAAATTCATTACACTCCTCCTTCCTTTAAGAGAATTGACAACTGAATGATGAATAATGTAAAATTTTGAGTTAACTATAAGCACATAATAAATCATAAAGCAAATATATTAATGAAAAATGTAAGGGTTTTGAATGAAGATGACAAAGTATAACCTCCTTCAGAGTCATGATTAGGTATCTTTTCAACATAAAAACAAGCAAATCTCTCACAAATTCTTTGAAGTTCCATAATCCATCTTTCTGCTCCATATGCAATTCCTTTATGAACAATATCTTTGTATAGTTGATGTGCTTGGATCTTATCATCCACTTCTACATGTTCAATCCAAGTCACCTAACATAAAACATAATATTGTTTTTTTTGAGTTTGTTTGATAAAATAATGGGATATGTATATGTTGAACATAATATTGTATGAATACGGGTTATAGCTGATTTATTAAATTAGATATAAAGATGATGATAAGTATATATTTATTTATTTTATATCGTATTTGTATTCGTTTTAGTTTTTTTAGAAATTAATTTTATTTTTTAAAAACTTATTTGACATATATATAATTATATATATGTGTGTTCATGCTTTCTAGCATTTGTAACACTGATTCATTTATGTAAAATTCGTTTTGAGTACAAAAAATGTATTTCCCAATAACATGTAGAACATTTGAATCATATAGTTGAAGATTTATTCAAGTACTATGAATAAGTAAATTACTAACCATGGAACACCCATTAGGCATTTCTTGAATCATGCATCCAGAGGGATATCTCCAAGAGTGAAAAATGGAGTTTTTTTGTCGAAATGAATCAAATGACACATCTACTATCACCCATACACCTTCTTCAATTTGTTGACAATAACGAAGAAATTGGAATTCACGAGGTTGCACTAAAGGTGAAAGAACATGCATTTTTTCAAACATCTGTCATAAAAGTATTGTCAATAAATAAATAAAAAATAGTCAAAAATCTTAATTACAAAAAGTAAGGTTTGCACACGAATATATACCAGTTGCAAAGCTCCACTTCGATTTCCTAGCAAACCACTTTCAAGTACTTTGATTGTTTCTGCTTTCGTAATAATTGTTGGAAAAAGATTAGCCCATTTGTCCTGGAAAGATCAATTGCATCATGTTCTTACGAGTATATAAAATTCTTTAATGTAGATAATCAATATTGTAATATTAAAGAAAATTAAGAGGGAGATATTTAACAAATTAACAAGAGTTACGAAGTGCTCACTGAATCTAAGAACATCTCAACTAGCTGGATGCAATTAATGCTCACTATTCCCGAATCTTTTGTTGCTTCTACATGCATGTTGACACCTTTGAAATGATTGGTCCTTGGAAACACTTTTTCATAATTTTCATGGTTAAGAATGAATTTCTCATCTTGAGTTGAAGTATTGGTCCAAAAAGGATCATTAATTCGAAGAAGCCTAACTAATTCATCCATTGCATCAATAGCAACCTTTGACATAAGGGTATTTTCTATACCTTCACTTCCCGATGAGTTAGGCAATAAATGGTCACTGTCCATAATTTGCTTACCAAGACTTCGATTGGGACATGAACTTTCACCTGTCTCTTGGTTTTGTGAATTTCCTAGTGTTGTTGGAGAATGTGAACTTGATCCTGTGATAGGAATAAAACCTTGTTGTAACTCAGGTGGTGACATTTGTTTCTCCAAGTACCTTGCAAGAAGGCTAGACACTTTTTCATGCTGAAAACCAATTCATAAATAAATAATCATATATATACGTTAATTAAAACCAATCACCGTGTAGTCTTTTGTTTTGAAAAAAAAAAAGTAAAAAAATTATTCAGATTATATTTAAAAAGAATCAATCGAACGAGTTCACTAACCTCTTCTTTTAGTTGGGCATTTTCAAGTTGCATCTTTTGGATAACATGTTCATGTTTTCCTTCTGGATATGGTGGACCCCCACAAGATGGACAAAGCATATTCTTTAATGCTTCTTTCATTAGGACATTTTCGCTATGTATCCTATCATTCTCAACTCGAAGAGCTGTGTTATCTGCTCGCTCATGTTGATTCTTAAGATAACATGCATACACAAAAAATTGTGAGTTATATATTATTCATACATTTTTTTTTTCATTTTTTTAATCACATTTATTATTTATACATCACTCTCGATCTCTTCTCTTAGACTCTATCTCTCATAGTACGTTGAAAAAAAAATGTTCGATTTTTTTTTAGTAGAAAAGTATGCTATCTGTAATGAGTGACACTAAGTATGATCACATGTAAAATAACTTTTAAATGAAAAACATTATACTAAATAAAATGAACCACCTTGATTTGAGTCCTTTTATTCTGAAACCAAAACTTTATTTGTTTGGGTTCAAGTCCAATCTCAGAAGCTAAATGACGTCGTTGGACTTCATCTGGATGTGGACACTCCTTGATGAATCTTCAAAAAAATAAACTCCAAAAATTAATTGAGAGAGTATTAGAATGTGCAAAGATATTTCTAAATCGCTGACGCTAAATGTGTTATAAAATAATTAATAATTATGCTGTATATGCAATCATATTAAATGTATATTGTTTAAATTTTATTAGCTTAGTTTAATTTGAGTTTAGGTAAATTTAGATAGTTAATTCCTAAAGAAATTAATCTGGGTTCTGGGATAGTATTTTTTTACTTTTCAAATTTCATAAAAAATTATAATAAAAAAATCTGAGACATGAAATGTTTTTTAAAAAATAAGTGAGATAATAAATCAAAATCATAAATCATTCATAAAAATCTTTGAAAGTTTATTTTTATTGTCACACATCAACATAGAGAATGATATATTGATAATAGATAAGTGAAATACTTACAAAATTGAAGAGAATAACAAATCGATACACAGTCAAAAGTTAGAGTACATGAACATATTAATATATTAAAATATAATTGAAAAAAGTTAAAGAAATGTGTTTGCTCTTTTTTATTCTATTCGCAGAAATTGAACTCGATATCTAGGCATTCACAAAAACTCGTGCACATATTGTTCAACTAACTAAGTACATGGTTGTTGGATTATTATTGTATCTTAAGTTGTATATGGATTTTTGGCATTTCTTGTAACAATCTAATATATCTCTTTATTTACTGATTAAAAAAAACTAACTTAGACTGTCTTGATTAACTAATTTTGTTTGATTTTAATTACTTGATTTGATCTATGAAAATTTGATGCAAAAACTAAATTTCTTCAATTTTACTTGTTTTTAATACAAACTAACTCATTGATTTAAACCAACCTAAATTTTATGAATTAGATAAATTAATTTAAGTTTCTCAAGTTGTCAAGTTAACTTGTTTTTTAGTTACAGGCAAATATTTGTAATCGGTTGTCATATTAATTAGTGGGAGGATTCGAGCTCACTCTCCTCTTTTATCATTTCAGTCTTGTGTCAAGTTAACTTATATTTATGTCTTTCTCTTTGTTTCTACTAAAAATATTCTCCAACTAATAGTTAAAGACTACTATTTTAACACGTAAAAATTATCAAAGTGAATTTCTTTTTCAAGAAGTTTGTCTGTACATATATATAATTAGGAATTAAACTCATGATGACATGTTCAATAAATCCAACAATCTAACACATGTGTAAGATCTGGGTGGTACCATTTATGCCTAACCCTAAATAATATGCATAAATAGTTGATTGAATCTGAAGTTGATTTTTTTTTAATATGTCAAATATTTGTTAATTGGTACAATTGAAACTTTTGAGTAGAAAAAGAGTATGAATATAACATACTTCAAATTACATGTTATTTGTAAAGAAAAAAAGTGAGAAATTCCTTTTTTTTTGTGAAGAAAATCCAATGCATTAAATATAATACTTATAATACATATAGGTACAAAAATTTGACCGCATTAATCAATTCAACAAAATATGCCATTATTAGTCAAAACAACTCAAATTCAATAGATAAAGAAACTGGTCAAAATAAGAATAGAATTGGTCAAAATAATATAAGCTATTGACAGAAAAATAAATTTGAATTTGAAAATGTTGATTTTGTTTATACAAAAATATTTTTAGTTAAACAACAACTCACGTATGAGATAATTGGCTATAAATCCTTATTACTTAATTATCTTATAATTATTTTTTTCTCTGGTAAAACGTATAAAATATTCTTTCATATCAATTGAAGATTTGGATGAATAATATATGTATTAAGAATGTAAAAAAAAAGTTAACTATCATTCAATCTCAAATCATATTAAATTTGTTAATTTTTATAATAATTGTTTTAAAAGTCATGCCAAAATGATTTTAATTGATTAATAATATAAAAAAAAATTATATTGACAAACACGTGACTTTTAAATACTTAATTTTTTTGTCAAACTTATTTTTTCTCCAACTTTATGTTACTTTATTTCCAAGTATATTATATAATATAAATTTTAAAAAAAAATTATTTTACACCATTAGTTAATCACAGTTTTTGTCACATATAATAAATTTATGAATTTTTATATAAACTACTAAAAAGTCATAATACTATGATTTATTATATAAAAAAGATTTAATGACAATACATGTATAAAATAATTTTGTATTGTCATTTAATTACAATTCATAATTTACACAAATTCATCAACTTTTACTATAAGTACCTTAAAAATTATATAAAAATTAATTTGATTAATTAACAATATAAATTTTTTTACATGAAACACCATTATACTTATAAAATAATATTATACAGTCATTACGTAACCATTAAGTATGAAATATTACTTTTATCATATGAACAATCAAGTCATTGATCATCATGACCATCAAAGAGATTTTTTACGACAATTAAGGGTTCATATGCTTTATATTTTTATTAAATTGTTTATGAAAGAATTATTAGTTGTGAAAAAAAAATATTTTGAAACAATTGATTTATATTTGGGTTTGATATTTTAAAAGCAAGTTGAGAAGAATATTTTTATTGTTGGTAAAGTAAATTTGCTTTTGGAGTGTAATTGAAATTGTACCCCCCCACCCCCCTCAAAAAAAAAAGCGTGATTGAAAAACATGTTTAAATTAATTTGAACCATACATTTGTATTGAAACGAGTACTTTTTACTGGAAAGTGTGAAAATTGATTTTCTAACTTTAAATAAAGAGGTGTAAAAAAACTTTAAATTATCAGAGGCTAAAAATATAATTTTACTCCGCATGTAAAATCAATTTTATCTAATAAAAAACAATTCTACACATTGAGTAAATTTTGTGGTAGAAAAATCCATTTGACAAACATACATGAGTCCCATTCGTCGTGATCATAGATATAATAAAATGGACATTCAACCAAATTTAAGTAAAAGAAGAACCCATGCCATGAAATAGATGAAGCCAAACAAAGCAAAATCAAGAGAAATTATTCATCATCAATGTGGACAAAGATGTATAGAGGCTTGATGAAAAACAAAATGGAAAAGTTTTTATGAATCTCAATCAACTCTACATTGTGTAAATATTTATGTTCACCCTTTCATTTCTTTCATCCAAAAAGTGAGATGTTCCCACAAAATCAAGCAAATAAAAAATTAATTAAAAACAATAATGTTGAAAGAAAATATTGTTAACCAAAAGGGTGACCTTATTACCTTTCAAGTTTGGCTGTTTGTACAGAAGTAAGACGTTTGTATGAAGGTCTTCTTCCTTCATTTAAGTTTTGAGAGCCTTCATCACCAGACCCGCCAACACTTGCAATAGAAGAATCCATTTTCCAACCACGATAAGCAAATACAATTGCAACTATTGGAGATTTTTATTGATCTTCACCTATTCTGTAAATAGATCCATGAACATTTAGGATATTTATATATGTCACTTTTGTTCTTTCACACCCTCAGTGTAGTTGCACAAATGATTTATCATCCACAAAAGGCAAAGGTAATAAAATAATATAATAATAAATACAAAAGAGTAATTTGATTTCTTTCCTAGGTAATATTTCCTTTGGATTCTTATGTGTAAAGATAAATAGAAATGTTTTCTAGTCTTTTCCATATAAGCAAATTTTGTTAATTGATAAGCCAGGAAAAAAATTATAAAAAGGACGTATTTTGGTAAACCACCATTTTTGGGAAAAAGATTATTTTAGAGAATTTGATAAGAGCAACGGGTGATTTTAAAGCCTTCCAAATGTACTTAGATTAAAATATAAAAAAGTTTTTTTTTTTATTTTACAAATATACGATGAATGAATTATGTGTAAGACTCATTAAATATAGCATGTATTATTTTAGTGAAATATACATAAAATCTACACAATAAAACAAAGTATTATAAAATTTTACTATGGCAAGTATTACAATCCTTGGTTTGGTATAGAGGAACGAAGGTATATGAGAGGAAATTTTGAAATTTGAATCGAAGAGACAATTAAAAAAGAAAGAAAATCTTGAACTTTTTATTCTAAAAGGCAACTTTTTTTTTTCTCCCTTATATTTTGTTTTCATTTTTTCTTTAACTACACAAAAGAAAATGTATTGTTATCCTTGCTTTTTATTTTCTTATTTTATTTCCTCTCACAAATATTACATACATCCTATTAATTATATGTAATTATTTAAAAAGAAAATATTAAACGACTTTTTGTACTTTTATATAATAAATGTTTTATTTTCACCGTTAATATATTTTTATGTAATATATTTTTATTTTTGTTCCCTTAACTATTCATTTTGGTCAAATACTTTGGCTAGTTTAGTATTTTATTTTTATATCAAAATTTTATTTATATTAAAATTTCAAGATATAATATTTGTATCTTGTTGGCTCATGACATAATTCGTTTTATATACAAGTTATTTTGTATGCATAAATCAGTCACAACTTTAAGGATTACATAATTTTCAATCTCATGACATGATTGGCCTTGCACTCAATCGACTTCACACACAAGTCAATAGTGACTTCAAAGGATGTGTACTCTCCTAAGTCATGACACAACCAATCTTTTAAGTATAGGCATGCATGGTGATCGAGCCTAAATGGTCAAACTATTCAAATTAGGTTTCATTTAGTCAAGCACATTAACATGTTCTAAAAATTGGCAAAATCAATATGTATTATTTCCTCTTAATTGGTCTCTCTCAACAAATGTTGCTCGTGATAGACTTCATGAATAGAGATCCACCAAAATCCATGTTTGTAAGTAATCCCCCCTGTAACACCCCCAAAATAGATTTTTTCGCCTATTTAACAAATGTCGTATATAATATAGTATAACATACCAAAATTATGTTAGATTTTGACAGATAGGTCCCAAAAGGTCTTTTGTCCCTCTAAATCCAAAGACACCACACTTTCTATGTCGATTAAAATAAGTTTTCCATGTTGATTATGGAATTTTCTTACATGCAAGTGATATAAAAAATTTGTACTTTCTATATCAAATAAGGAATGCTTGTTAAATATGTTGTTAATTAAGGACAAATTTTAACACTATTTTTATATTGGTTTTGACAGCAATCAATATAACTTTTTTTTTTTATAACCTATTTGTTTTATAATTTTCCCTCTTGATAACAAATAGACAAGATTAGATAGTTCACATGTATAAGGCCAACCACTAGTAATCTTATATATTATCCATATTAATAATATAAGTATCCTAAAAATTACAAATAATCTAAATTATACTACAAAGTCTATAGATATAAACTACATAAACAATCTTAATGACAACCAATATATTTATGATAAAAAAAAATATCATAATTGCAATAATTAATAAAATTCATACACCTAAGAAACATTAAAATAATAACATAAATTTACCCAAATTCACAAGTTATGATAAACGAAAACAAAAAAAAAAAGTGAAAATCAATGGGTGTTGATGTCATCCAACTCTTCCCGCTTAATGAATCCGTTTGTTGATTATTTAAAAGTTCAAATTGAAGAATAATATTATTTCACCAATTAATTATCATGTTAGATTAAATAAGTAACTTAGTTTATAAATATATTACCCCTTTAATGACTTAACAATATTTGTAGAGATAATTGTGAGCATTTAGCTCATCATACAATATTCACACTTATGGTTACCTAATTATCTTGGACTCTACAAATTGAATATATACAATGAAAATGTATTTTAAATTTTAATTGAATGCATGTTTGACAATTAACTTACATTTAATGCCAAATATGAAAGCTTCCTCCTATATGAACTCGACATCCTTTGCAACATCTTATATGTGTCCATAGCTTTACAATAAACAATGAAAATTAAAATGCATTAATTGTTGAATTCGTGATTATTAAAATATATGATAAAGAAAATCTATGAATTATAAACTTTCCAATCAAGTACATTCATAATGGCCAAGGTTTTCACTTTCTTGTACAATGAAAACTAGAGAACCACACACAACATTTTGCCTAAAAACAATAACTAGTATTTGTCTCTGGTCCTACATTTTGTTATAGTATTAGTAATTAGTAACAAGTAACTCATAATTTCAAATAATTTTTAAATTTGTATTTACACATGCAAGTACTAAGTAGAACTACATATCAATTGTTTCATTCCCAACACTTTGAATGTTGAGAAGGTCAATGCATGAATCCATAAATACATATGTTAAAGGCAATATAGATACCTTAAATGTTGAAATAAACTTTTAAATAAATATTTTGATATATAATTAATTAAGTGATTTTCATAAAATAAAATTATATTTACAACTATAATTGTGCTAACAATATGCTTAGCAAATTGATATCTGCACAAATGTCACAAACATTCTCTAGCATATATAAAAAGGATGGTATAATGCTCCTACCTATGACATCAAGACCCAACTATACATGTACAAGGTTCTCCTAATAGTCATCATTATTGCATCCAAACTCTAAATTAAGAGGAGACAAATATGGTTCAGATCTTGGGCAATAACTTGTTTTTGCTTTAAAACATCATCCTAAACAAATATCAAAGTTAAAATAATATTAGTAAGGTTTTTCAAATGTAAAGATAAAAAAAATATATGTAAACCAAATTATTAGGAATATATTTATTACAATGGCCATTGTTAGTCTAGCCAACCATATGATAAAGTTATTAGGGGCACATCTCATTCTCTATACCTCCCTATTAGGCATATGGATTCAAGTAGGGATGAAAAAATAGATCAACCCTGCCCCACTATTGGCTTGCCAAAAATAAGCCAAGTCGAGCTGGCTTGCCAGAAGAAAATAAGTTGGACACCTTAGTCTGTCTTGCCTAAGGGCGGGTTGGCGAGCTAGTAGGCTAGTCTGCCAAAAAAAAGAAAAAAAGGAGAAAGTTTGCATATTTATTTTGATTTATCCTTCCAACATATTTTTTCAATATATAAAGGATCTACATAAATCAATATATCTAAATAATAAAAAAAATCAAATTACAATTGATTTGATTGATTTACTACACAGCAAATCTCAAATTACATATAATAAAATAAATGAAAGTACAACATATTTGTTGTACAACAAATCACACATTACATACAAAATAAATTTGAAGTCACTTAATTAAATTTATATTAAATATAATTAAATAAATAAAAATATAAATAAATTAAATGGGCCAAAGGGCTAGGCAGGGCAAGTCAAGTGTGCTAGGATACCTAGCTCAGCTCGCCAATTTTTGACAAGCCAACAAGTCAGCCTGTGGACTATGACCCATTTTTTCACCTCTAGATTCAACTGGTAAGATCTCAAATGCCTACAACCTCTACTTGTACCATATCATCCTTAATTCACTAATGGTGTATGGTTGACCCCATAATGGGAACCTAAGGCCACTACATGTTATGGGGGATCATCAATATAAAGCTCACAATCAAAAGGGATAACAGCAGTAGCTTCCACTCCTAATCCCTTAGCACCCACACAAATCCCCTTAGTACTAACACAAACAAGTGAACCTTGTAGACTTGATGGCACATTAATACATTTTGTGGCCACACCAAGTGATGCCATCCCATGTCTCATGTCTAGTAACATTTGCTCCCTTATCTTTGGCTCTATCTCTACTCTAATTTCAACTCTGATGTGCTAAAAATTTGCATCAGTAAGTTATGATTTACTAAAAGTAGATTGAAATAAAGCTCCAAAGAATGGTTATATGCTTAAACCTCATCTAACAACATGAATAAGATCTAGATGCTCTAGATGATTGATGGCAAAAGTCAATATATCATCCCCCTTGAGGAAAAAATGTTCCATGCGTGCTCTGCTCAACCAGAGCATTCTACAAAACCAAAATTTAAATATGTTAACAAATTTTAATTAAGATCAATTGCTACATTCACAATTGAATTTAAGGATATTTAGAGATCTAGTGCATTATGTCATGTACCCCAATCATCAACTACACAGGCAAAAGGATTGAAATGGTGACCGTTATAGAAACAGTAAATATATATAGGATTATATCTCACATCACTGGGCTACTCACTAACAAAGTTAAAGTTTAATTTAGCGAGTGATAAAGAAGACCAAAAGTAGCAATAGTTGTTGGAGTAACGACAACTTGTATGGTAACAATTGTGGAAAACACAATTGTAGTAGGTTTGGTCATACTTGGCAATTAGAAGCCTTTCTCATTGGTGGATTAGATCCCATCTTCAATATGATATCCTTGGTAGTAACTGATTATGTCAATTGTTATCAAAGAAAGGTGAAGGGAACTTTAGCTTGTGATGAATGGAGTTCAACTAGGTATGCCAAGATTGTGTTAGTGAGTAATTTATGATTGACTAGCCGTGTGGATTAGCTAATTACCAATAGGATATTCCCTTAGTCTACTAACTTGAGGAAAGAATTATATCCCATTATTGATTTTTACTTTTCTCAAAAAGAACTTCCTATTAACCGTGAACTAAAATTTGACTATGTTACTTTACTCCTAAGGAAATGCAATAAATGAATGTTGTGAACAAATAAATGTGGTAAAAAAAAACTGATAAACAATGTTTTTTAAAGGAAATAAAAACTCTAGAAATAAATAAATTTAATTAATTTGGTCAATACCATTTTTTTACGTTGTGTTTTCTCCTATTTATAGTGCTTACAATGGTCAAACATTTTATCCTAGATTCAACAACCTATTACTTGTGTTTTTAGGAGACCATGCGAGTACAATCTTTGTAGCACATGATTTGAAGAATATTACTTCTCATGTTCAAGTCTTCGATTGGACTTTGGGTCGTTTTAGGCACCTATTTGTATTAGACCCACTTTACTTTTTTTGAATGATTGAACTCATCGTCAACTATTTTATTTTAGGGTTAACAATTATATAGCATATAAAAAAGTTCGATAACAATAATCATGTCATATCAACTATAGCATTATTGATAGCAATCATTATGCATTATTATTCGATATTTAAAGTACTCGTAGTAAAAGAGGAAAAGAAAAATAAGAAATATGTAAGATAAATGTAAAAATTGAACGGTGAAAAAAGCAAATTTATTTTAAAAAATAGATTTTAAAGAAGGTGTAATAAGGGAAATCTAAATTTTGTAGCTAAAATGAAACCTTATAAATGGTAAGTTTAACTTGAAGCAAATCATAATTATTGGCTTCACAATACAACAATCTAATTTATCTTGTCCACATATATAAATTAAAAATATACAATAATTAATCAAAAGGTATATATAATTTTTTTTTATATTAATGGCACATATAAAAGATCCAATAAATATTATGGAAACAAAAACTTTCAATGTCTTGTCTTTGAATTCAAAAGGAAAAATCACTAAAACTCTAAATTGGAACCATTCATCAAAGCATCCTTTATGTTTTTTACTGTTGAGGTAATGAGAGAGTTAACAACAGCCACAGACTCCAAGGCAGTTGTCGTTGGACTATTCATCAGTATTTGGAAAGCTACAGTCAAAAGAGAACCTCTTGTTCTTAAAATACCATTTCCACTACTTGATGTCGGAGCATTTGTAATAGATTGTTCATTATCTAAAATGACAATTCCTGATGGAAAAATTGACGTTGTTGAAGAATCTTCACCATTTATAGCCCTCCTTATGTCAAGTATATTGAGGGGAGAATATACAACATATGATCCTAGAGGATCAAAAGAACTTTCTTGAATCATCACCACATTATTCATAGTTGGGTGGACAGGCTGTTCACATGTATGATTAAAATGACTTTAGACAAGTTCACATCAAAAGCAATAACAATAAAATTGAGGATTTGAATAATTCCTAAAATATAAAATCAAAATAATTGTAATATAAATTGTTACTAAGAATTCAACCCAATAATCATAAATTTGACATTTTGTCGTCAATTAAAATAAATTCACAAATCACTATATAATTTTAGTATATTAAATCCTTATCTACTTTCATCTCTCTCTTTTGTTTCTTAGAGATATTCTCCTTCATAGACAATATTGTTCAAGGCGCAATTGAACACAAATTAAATGTGGAAACCAAACTTAACAGGAATTGAAACCTTGGTTTGTCATGTTGTGACATTTGGTTTACAATTTTTCTTCCACTTAAAAACTTACAAGAATGAAACAAGTGATTGTATGACTTTATTAACAAAGAGGTTATTGACCACAAAAAGCTTTGATAACTTTCTATTTTCTATAATATATAGTTGGGTTTTTTTATTAGTCATGTTACCATTTACATGGATTAAAATGAAAAATATATTCATAATTACAAACAAAAAGTGGACAAAAACAAAAATGGTTATTTATTATAAAGATTAATTTTTTTAACCAATATAAAATTCATGGTTTGAATATAAACTAAAATAGTTTCGACACATAAAAAATCAAAACATTATTTTAGACTAAAATATAGTATTTTAATACCTGAATAATCGATATGTAGTTGCTAGGATGAGTTCCGGAGGAGATGCGTGCAATCTCTTGCACTGAGTTTTTATAACACATGACATCCCACTACAAAAATATAACAAAATAATATATGATTTTCTATTACAAAGTTATAATTTAAAAACAAACAAAATAATAATATATTAATAAAATAAAACTATGTCATGTTTATCTTCTGGACCTTAGCACGTCTTATTGGATCTCTAAAAAAGTCATAAAGATTCTGAGAAGGGAGCGGAAGCCAAAAAGATGTAGCAGCAGTGATGGTAATCATGGAATTTGGTTGGCTTGGGTTTGTATTTTTTTGAGCAGAGATCGTAACCCTATTATTCCCCTCAGTTAAATGTTGGGGGAAGTTAGTGTTACTTGACATGTTTAAAAATCCATAGAAGTTCTTAACCATTTGAAGAGAAAGCTTCATTATACCCTTCCTTCCTCCGATTGTAGTGATCACTGAAAATGAATGACATAAATATTCTTAAATATACACACATAATGGATCAAAAAGATGATAAATGATTTTTTTTTAATTCATGGTGCTAGAAACTTGTTAGAAAAATTTAAATAAATCCAATTAAAAGTTACAAACTAATTATTTCAAAAATAAATGTGGGGTGACTTTTTAAAATTTGTGATATAATAAATATACTTTTATAAAAAAACATTGTTTTTCATATAAATTAATGTTTTCCACCAACAAGCTTGCTTCTAGCTTCTTCTTCTCTTCATGACCTTGTTTTGTGTCTTTCTCTTTCAGTCTTTCAAGTTGGTTGGGTCTCAAGGATGAGTGTTGGTCTCAAGGACGAGGGGTGGTTGGGTTTTGGCAATAAGTCTCTACGTTTGGGGATCGGTCATGGTTGTTGATGGTCAATCACAAATGTTGCAGATCATTTGTGGCAGTTGATGGTTAGTTGCGACAACTACGCGTCGCTCGCATTTTGTAGCTTTAGAGGGTTGGTTTTAAGAGGTAAGACTCACCTGCTAGCAGGATGGAGGAGGTTAAAGCGAGGGCCACTGCGATAGGAGGAGAAGAATCACTTGCATAATCATTAGGGAAGGGAAAAGAGGGGGTTGAGGGAAGACTCACTCGCAAAAAAAAATAAATAATAATTTATTGGGGACGGGTATACCTGATACCTGACAAGGACGAATATGAGACTCAAATTTCATACTCGTTTGGTATCAGGGACGAGGATGGGTATATGGTTCAAATGTAGGGATGGGAACAAGATATTGAAACCCGCACTCGTCCCACCTTGTTGCCATCCCTATTCCAATACCTTCACCAACCATTTTTAAATCACAAAAAACAACACAAATAAACAAGTCCAACACTTTTTCCATGCTTACTCACAACCAAAACTTAAAACCCAAGCCATCAACAAGAAAAATAGGATTCTACTGACATATGAAACAAAGTTTAAAACATTATGATAAGAAGAGATCATAGGAAATAGTATAAAAAAAAAAGTGTCATTTTCTTTCATTTCCTTGGAGTATTTATTCTCCCTAACCTTGTTTTCAAGGATGTCGGAATCTTCAAGTTGTTGTCAAATGACATACGTAATTACTAGGATAGTGTCATTATTGGTGGCTTCAAGATGCTTATGTATTGTGTCTTCATATGATTTTTGTCTTAAATCATACATCAGCCAAAAAATCCTCATGACACATAATGAATGAAGATTTTTTGCATGAAACTTCAACGAGTGAGTGAAAAGGGGAACCTTACACATTGTGTTTGGCTTGGCTTGGGATTTTCAGGTTTGAAAACTTACAACTTGAAACCCAAATCGAACAGGGTTGGATTAAGGAAACAAAAACAAAAATAAACAATGGTCCAAACCAAAATATCAAGATGTAATTAGGTCAGTTTGACCGATGAGGTTGATTCGATTGATGAGATCGAGTCTACCAATGTGGTTAAGTCTATTAATGAGGTCAAGCTGATCAATGAGATTGAGTGAACTCGTAGGTCTTCCTATACTTATCTACACCCTTAATATATACTTATGTTCACATGTTAAAATAAACTCAATAAAAGAATAAATAACAATAATGCTTGAAATAAATATGGTAGAGAGTAACCTCCACCGATGTCATAATTAGATATGTATTCAGCTCCAACACTGATAAATCTTTCACACATTCTTTGAAGTTCTGTAAGCCATCTTTTTGCTCCATATGCAATATTGTTATTAACAATATATCGATAAAGTTGATGTGGTTGGATCTTCTCATCCACTTCCACATGTTCAACCCAAGAAACCTAAAAGGAAGTATATAATTAATTTTATTAATGTAAAGTAAAGTGATCATGGTATAATAGCCTCAAGATTAAGTAAAGTGATCGAGGAATAGCATAACACAAAAGGAAATGAATTAGTTTAGAATAAATATATAGCATTTATTAATGTAGTATAATTTTTGTAACCTTCTAAATAGCAATATAAAGTTGAATGTTTAGAAAGATTTACATATACATATATACACACATGGAAAGGATTTCTTTATCACGTGAGTATGATTTCAATCACATAAATGGGAAGCTTTATATACAAGATAGGAGGGAAATAAATTAAGGAAAAAACATTCATTCATCTTTTGATGATTTTCAATAATGGAAAGAAGGAAAAAAGATAGATAATACCTTAACATAATACTTGGTTGGAGGGGAATAGAAAGAATGGGAGGGGAATGAAGGGGAACAAAACCCCTCTTCATCTAATGTTAGTTCCCTTCCAATTATGGGGATTTGAAGTAGAGGAGAGGGATTTTAAAATATTTTTAGTATCATGTCCAAAATATCATTATTTATGTTTTTAGATTCAAAATTATAAGCATACAAAGGTAAATTGGTTTTTAACATCTCTCATCTCCCTTTGTGAATTAAGCAAGAAAAGAGCTACCTCCTCTCCCTTGACTTCCTCTAAACCAAACAAAATTTATAAATTTTTCCTTCCCTTTCACTCTCCTCGATTAAAATCTCTCTCCTTTCTTTCTCTTCTTTAATTTGAACCAAATAGACTTTAAGGAAATGTTTGGTACGCAGAATATTTTTACTTTTCCAAGAATCTAAAATTAAGAATGTTAATTTTCTATATTTGGTTTATCATCTAAAAATTAATATTCTTAGGAAACATAGTTTGTTGGAAATGTTTTTTTATACACGTTTCCAACCAAATTATTCCTATGGGAGAGGTAAGAATCTAATATTCATGAGTTAAAAAAAATGATTTACTGTAATAAAAATATTATGTTATCTTAATTTTTTAATTAATATAATAAAAATATTTGATTCCTAAGTAAAATTTATAAATATTTTCAAATTTATAAACTTTTATAATCAATTAAACAAATTTAATTATTCATGAAAATCATAATTTTCAAAGTTTATAATTTTCAAGAATCATAATTTTTCTAACATAAAAGAATTTGCCTTTTACAAAACGTTTATAAAATTCTTCTCACAGATCGGAAGTAGTTAAGACATGATATTATAATAATATTTTAACAAATAATCATTAAATTAATTACACATGGCGTATATTTATAAGATTGATAACCTAATGAGTATATTGGAAGTCTAATTTCATAAACTAACCTCATCACCATATTTTTACCTCCCAAATAAGGGCAAATGACTTTCCTTCAAACTTCGACTTAAATAAAGGAAACCAATCACTCTTCATGCTAGTATTGTAATAACGTTGTGTTTGGTAAAAAATTTCAAATTGAAGACCATGTCATCTTGCAAATTAAGCATTTCTTCATCTTACACTCCTATTCAATGTTTTTTCTTCTTTTATCTACCCTCTACCTATTTTTCACAAATATATATTTTATTTTAAAATAAATTAACAATAATGAATATCAAAATATCATATCTAACTCCTTTAAAATAAAGAGATGTGCAAGATATGATACAATTGTTGTGATAGTCATCTGTTTTATATATATTTATATATAAAAGCTGATTTCACAAATGCAACTATATATGTACTCACATGGCATGCCCCATTAGAAATTTCATGAACCATGCATCCTGAGGGAAACCTCCAAGAACTGGGATGAGGGTTAGTCCCTTTCATGTAGTCAACTGAAACATCTGCTATCACCCATACACCGGCTTCAAGTTGTTGACAATAGCGGAGGAAGTAGAATTCTCGAGATGGCACTAAAGGTGATAGAACGTGCATCTCTTTATACATCTACACAAGAAGAAAAGAAGTTTTAACTTGGACAAAAAATTAAAATACTATAACAACAACCTATTACATAGAGAAAGATTTGCAAGAATGTATACCAATAATAAAGTTCCACTTCGGCTATCTATTGAACCATTTTCAAGTACTTCGATTGTCTGCGCTTTTGTCACAATTGTTGGGAAAAAACTTTTCCATTTTTCCTAGAAGATAAAAAAAAAAACATCATCGTTACTATATAGAAAGAAAGAAAGCAAGAAAGAAAGAGAGACATATATCATAATAAACAGTGAGAGGAAAATAAGTATACTAACCGAGTCCAAGAACATGTCAACTAATTCCTTCGCCTGAATTTTCACAATTCGTGAATCTTTTGATGATTCTACATGTGCTTTGGAATTTTTGAAGTGATTAATCCTTGGGAAGAGATTTTCATAGCATTCAAGATGAAGAACAAATCTTTGATCAATTGAAGACTTGAACCATAAGGGCTCACTCGTGCACAAAAGCCTGAGTAATTCCTCCTTAGCGGCTATTGCAATTTGTGACATCATTGTTTTTTCCATTTTTGTTACTTTGCTCCCTGGGTTGGACACGATTTCTTCACCTTGAAATGAAAGACTTGTTGAACCACCAAGATTCATACCAGCACTTCCAACTCCTAGTTTTAGAGGACTTCCTAATATTAATGCATCACGTGATGAAGATCCTTTAATAGGAGTTGATTCTAACTTTAGTTCTGACGTCGGTTTCTCCATGTACATTGTAAGAAGATTAGACACTTTCTCACGCTGAAAAGAAATCCATAAATAAATGTGCATCATATTGTGGCCCGTTATCAAGAAGAAGAAAAATTGTTTTTAGTTTCTAAAAATAATACTCTTTTTGTCCCATGATAAATGTTACGTTAGAAGAAAAAATAAACTTTAAAATAAGTGTTATACTAATTTTTTAATACAATATTAATTACTTCTTTTTCATTTATATTCTTAATAATATTATATATAAAAAGTGATTTTTGTATTGTATTATTTATAATAAAAAAGATTAATCATAAGATTAATTTTATGAAATTATTATTCTCTTTCATCTATTTATTAATTTTTCTTAATTTATATAAAATAATTTAAAATGACATTTATTATGAAACTGTTAAAGAAGTACTAGAGAATTAGGGTTAGTGCTACTAAAAATATAAAACTGAAAAAATAAAAGTTCTTCATTCATGCCTCAAGCAAGAATACATCTTAAGTAGCAAAATGTAATTAGGTTTGGGCTCAAAAGCATAAGAGCCCATTTAGGAAATTAACAAAAGGAAAACATAAAGGATCCGATCAACAAGTTTGTAACTTAGACATAATCTTTTAACCGGTATGGGTTAAAAGATAAGCGTTTGGGCTTATCAGAAACAGTAAGAATAATATTTTTGTTTAATGTTTATTTAATAAAATATAGTGATTTTAATTAAAGCTGTCAAAATGGGTCAGCTCGACCCATGTGGGTCAGCTCACCTTGACCCACTTTAAAAACGGACTAACCCAACCCGACTTATTTTTTATTTTCTAAAATATTTTCTGGCCCAGCCCAGCCCACCACAGGTTGGTAGGTTACACGGGCCAGCCCACCAAAAATTTAAAAAAAATTATCAAAAAATCAAATTTTAAATTAATTATAAATTAACATAATAGTCATAAAATTAACATCATTAATAGTCATAAATCATAACTCATCATACAAAATTAAATACAAATCATGATAAAAGTCCAAAATAAAATTTTTTAATATCTCATCATATAAAATTAACTACAAATCATAATTGAATTTCTATTGCAAAAAAGAAATTGGTGGGCTGGTGGGTTGTCCGGTCCACCACAGGTTCAGCCCGAATGGGCCAGGTTTAGATATACCCGCCTACTATAAAACTTTCATAATTTTTTTTATACCTGACCCGACCCGTTTCAAAGGTGGGCTAGATTGGCCCACGGACGACAGTCCATTTTGACGGTTCTAATTTTAATATCTCTATGGCCTTCAATAGGCCCCTTTTTAAAATTTTAAAGGAAAAAAAAAAACTAAAAAGGCAATATTTTAGAGCCAAAAATATGTTTAAGTAATAAAAAAAACTAATCAAATAAAGAATTGACATAAAAGAATTAATCAAAGTAGTTAACTAACCTCTACATTTAGACGAGCATTTTCGAGGCGAAGTTTTTCTAGAGAATGTTCATGTCCTTTATCTCCATAGGGTGGACCCCCACATGATGGACAAATTATATTCTTTAATGTCTCTCTAATTACGAGATTTTCATTATACATTCTTTCATTCTCGACACGAAGAGCATTGTTATTTGCCCTTTCAGTTTGAGTCTATTGAAATTGCAACACATAAAATAGTTAGTATCCCTTAATAAAGCATGCATAAGAATTTTTTAATGAAGTACCAAATTAAAGCAAAACAATATATAAGAATTTTTTTAATGAAGTGACAAATTAAAATAAACAATATATATGACCTTTTTTTGAGTCCTCTTATTTTGAAACCAAAACTTCACTTGTTTTGGCTCAAGTCCGAGATCTTTGGCTATTTGACGCCTTTGCTTTTCATCTGGATGTGGACATACGCTAAATAATCTTTAATTCAAAAAATAAAGATCACAGTTAATAAAGAGTGTTGCAAGTTGAAAAATAACATACACGAGTCAAGAAAAAATAACACAAGTTTTAATATAGAGTGGTCTATGCACAATAATACATAGACACATGCCAAAATGTGATATAAAGATCATGTCATTACCAAAATGGCGTTTATATGTGTAAGAACAAAGATATCGATAAGTACATGTTATATAAAGAATTTAATTGTTATGTTCTATATAAAAAATTTTGCAATTAATTTATAGAAAAATGATAATTTTTAAGATTTAAGAATAATTATTATAAAAATCAATAAATTTATCATTTTATGATAAATTGTGATAAAATAAAAGTATTATAATTCATCCTTCATAATTTAACACTAATCATCCATATATATATCATTTCACTTAATGGATAAGACCTATTACCCAACTAAAGATATAAAGACAACAACTGATGTTTTTAATTAGGCATATCTGATTTAACAAAAGAGAAATATGTTTCAAATAAAATATTTATTTAATTTTTAATATTTTAAAATTTTAAACATTCGAAAGATTTTTCGGTATAAATCTTGGAGGAATGGTAACTATTCTTAGCAAGAGCCAGTGGATCTTACAAAGTACATGTGAATTTTATGCATAATATTACTAAAACTTATTTACAAAAGATGAATCAAAGAAATCAGGAAGGAAAAGATGAGAATCCCAAACAGAATGACATCAACCATGCGATGGAACAATGAAGGTAAATTTTGATGCTTTTGTGTATAAAAAATGCTTTCTACATACGAAAATTGTGTAAATATAGCTTTCATTTACTAAGTAGCAATATTTTTAAAAGATGACCACAATTATGGTCAATGCCTTGATGGACGAATTAAAAAGTGACGTGAAGTTCAATAATATTGATAACGATAAATAATATATATATATATATATTTTTTTTTTTGAAATTAAGAAAAATATATTTTAAAATAAATATAATTGTATTTCATTGGGGTAAAATGCATTATCATTCTATATTAATGGCCTTTGACATTTTGTTGACAACATTGCAGAAAAATTAAAATTAGTATTCAAGTCAGATGCATTATCATTCAATATTAAAGGGCTTGGGACATTTAAATCGTTGACAATTGAAGAAAAAATTAATATAAAAAATTTAATCAATATAGAAAATAGCAGTGGAAATACGTTATCATAGCAATTAAATAAAAAAAATGTAAGTATTCGTTTGACCCATATCTGGGTAATTCTTAAATTTTCATTTTTTAAATATGAGAAATTCTTAAATTTTTATTTTCAGTCTCGTATATACAAGTTTAAAAAATCACATTAATTAAAAAAATAATTAATGATTAAATTCACTAATCTCATTTAAAAAAATAAACTATTTTTCTAAAATTTCTTTCATCGGAACTCGGTATCAATAATAAAGAAAAATTATTGAAAATACAATCTCAATTAAATAAAAAATACTTTAATAAATAGGATAAATTAATTAAATGTGTTTATATTTGAAATTAGTAAACATATTTTTTTACTTATATAGAAACCAAAGATAATAATTAATAATTTAATACATGATTTATTATAAATATATTAGTAACATGATTTTTCTTGAATTTATTCAATCTAGACAAAAATGATATTAAGCTTAAATATTTAATTCATTATTATAAACTTCTTGTTAAATTTGTCTAGGGATGATAAAGGGGTTAATTAGATCCATTAAGGCCAACCTTGTCACTAATTTGTCAAAAATGACTCAAACAAGCCTAGACTAGCTTATTAAGTAAAAATGGGTTAAACACCTTCACTTAGAGCTGTCAAAACGGGTAATCCGGCCCGGTCCGGCCCGGCCCACCACGGGTTGAGCCTTTGGTGGGCCAACCCAACCCGGCTCGTTTATTGGTGAGCTGGAAAAAATTAAGCCCGGCCCGGCCCACCACGGGTTGGTGGGCTAAACGGGTTGGCTCACCTAATTTGAAAAAATCACCTAATTTAAAAAAATGTAATCAAATTTAATGTCTAATCCTGCAAAAATAGTATGCACATAAGCTTTTCTAGAGAAAAGTAAATAAATTTCTACACTAATTACATAATTTGAAGAAAAAATACATAAAATTGAGAACCTATGATGGTCTATGAAGTTTTATTTGGCCCAACCCAATAGCAGAAGTTTTTTTTTTTTTTTTATGGGCTGGTGGGTCAGCCCGGCTCACCACGGGTTGAACCCGGGTGAGCCGGGTTGTTAGTGGGCCGGGTTTAAAATTGGCCCACACTGAAATTTGCAATTTTTTTTTAGCCCAACCCGGCTCGAACCCGTGGTGGGCCGCGTTGGCTCACCGGGCTGAGCCCATTTTGACAGCTCTACCTTCACTCATCCCATTTAAGGGTGAGTTGTCGAGTCAACGAATTAGCCCACCAAAAAAAATATACATATTTATTTTGGATGTTTTTTAACATATTTTTTCTCAAATATAAAGGATTCAAATAAATTAGTGTATTTAAATAATAAAATAAATTTTAAATTAAAATTAATTTTATTTGATTTGTTGCACAACAAAATTCAAATTTATTAAATAATAATATAGCTCTTCCAATAGATTTACTACAAAAAATCTCATATTACATATAATAAAGTAAATTAAATTATTTAAACTTAACATTAAAAATAACAATAAAAAAATAAACAAGTTAGTGGGTCAACATGTCCTGGCCTACCATTTAACCTAGCGAGCTAGTTGATTAGATACGACGGACCAAGTGGGTTGATATACTAGTATGCCTAACATAGACAACAATTTTTTGGTGAGCCAATAGACTGACCCACAGACTGAGACCTGTTTTATCATCCCTAAACTTGTCTTACCTTAATTTGATAGGTCAGTGATAAAGAGTCAACCTCATCCTTAGATAACTTCATTGTTGTGGTAAAGATACACAACAAAAATGTAGAAATTTATTCAATAAAAACTTAATAAAAAAAATAAATCCATTTTTCTAAACTTAATTTCAAATATTTCCCACTTTAATTTCATGGGTCTATGATAGAGAGAGTCAAATTTTTCCCTAATCGACTCCATTGTTACAACAAAGATCAATAACAACAAAATTGTGAAAATTTATACACAAAACTTAATAATAATAATAATAATAATAATTCATTTACTTAAACTTGTCGTCAACCTTATCTCATCTTAATTTGACAAATTGTGATAGAGAGAACAAATTCATCCTTCACAAACTTTGTTATTGTGGGGAAGAAACACAACAAAAATGTGAAGATTTGTATCACAAAACTTAATAAAAATAAATAAAAATAATTAAGTAATTAAATTAAATCCTTTCTAAATTCGCCATTAAATCTGACCTATCTTAATTTGATGAGCCAATGACACAGAGATTCAAACTCATCCTTATCAAATTTCATTATTAGGCTTAAAATACACAACAAAAATATAAAGAATCACAATATTTAATTTAAAAAAAAAAAAAAAAAAAAGTCACGATCTTAAATTCAAACATCGACTGGAAAGAAGTTGAAAAAAAAAATCCTTTAAAACTATTAAACAAAGCAAAAACCCATCATGGAAAAAGATTCGAACTCATAAAAAAATTAATAAGATTTATGACACAGTTTTTTATCCAAAGTAAAAACAGTCAATTTCGGTATCTGCCCTTGTTGAATTGATCAAGGTTAGTCCTTTCCCTTTTCTTATATTTTCTTCACCCAAAATTCAAAACCTAACAAATGAAAAATCAACACACAAAAATAGTAGTCACAAGTAAATTGAAGTGATCTTACTCTTCAAGCTTAGTTGTTTGATCAGACTTATGACGACGGTAGGACTTTTTTCCATTCTGATCATTCTTTTGTTCATCTCCAGACCCACCAGCAGCTGCCATAGTCATGTCCATTTTCTCAATTCACCTGAAAAGAAAAGAGTTTTTGGTTTTTTTGCTTTACCCTTTTTTTGTGTGAACTCTTTAGGGGTTTATATAAGCCAAATAACTTTGCATGACACCTCAGTCTTGATTAACACATAGGAGTTATCTTTTGTTTTTCAATGACATTAGAAGAAAGTAATAATCATGAGATTTTTACCACCAGGAAGGATTTTCCCTTAGATTCCTGTGTGCGAGGGTGAATATGGATATTAAATTATCAACTAGTTTCCCCCACATATTACCCCAACATAGTAACAGCTATATAAGATAGGGAAAAAACAAATTATGGGAATTAGAAATTTGAAGGAAAAGAAAAATTAAATCTACTTGTAATAAGTGTTGTCTTGAATTCTTTTACATACACACCAAAATTAATAAATAAATAAATAAAAATTATAATTTTATAAAATTAATTTTATTAATAATTTTATATTTTTTTTAGAAAGGATACAATAGATATGAAATAAATAATAATAATTAATATTATATTAAAATAATACTTTTAAATTATTTTTTTCTTACCCGATACTTGTTAACTGAAAGATTATTAATTATATTTAAGAAAGGCTTATTTGGAATAATTCAAAATACCAAGCATGACAACTCATATGCAAGCAAAAGAGCATAGAATTGAGAAAAGATAAACTAAAAAACAAAATCCAGTGAAACTGAAATTTTGACTTTGAAATTTGAAAGAGGTTTGGTTTCAGTTTGGTGGTTTAAATAAAAACTGAAGGTTGTGTAGAGTTTGTGCTTACACTTGTAATAAAAGAAGAAAATTGGGAAGAGGTGGAAAAGAAAAAGGTTCAAATTAAAATTACTTTCTACGCGGATAAGATAAGGATCAATTAGGGACATTATGTTATTGACTGGTAAAGTTATTACTCAGAGTGACTCAAAAGAAGAAGAAAAAATTATGAACAATTAATATGTATTGTTTTAAGAATTTTTTTTAAATCGTACTATATTGCTACATGTGTGTGACTTGTACACTATTTGTGTTTTCTTTTATTCATGGTGTGAATGTATTAAAGGCATTTATTGAAGCTCTTTAATATTATAGTGTAATGGTGTTGAATGACATTTATTGAACCTATTTAATTTTATTTTCAAATATAATGTAATGGTGTTGAATGACATATAGGGAAGGTTTTAAATTTACAATATTTTTTTTACTTTTTTCAAAAGAATAAAAAAGAAATCAGAAAGAATAAAGTAAATGTTGTAACAAAGCAATTAGTCAAATGATAGTGGTGGCATCTTACAAAATTTATTTTCGGTATAGAGTAATATTACAAATAGAAATTATATTAATTTAAAAAATAAGATATATAAAATCTAAAAAGACACCAACATTGAAGTGTGAATTTTTATAGGGAAAAAATAAATTAATAATTATTTTTTATATTATATTAAACACAAATATCTATCTTGATTAACAGAAATCATATGTTATTTACCTTAAAACAATGTCTGGTTATATATTTCACGAGGGCATATTAGTTTTTAGTTATTAATTTTGAAATAATGAATTATGTTTATAGATAAAAAAAATAAACTTTTATTTTAGGTGAGAGTATTTTTAAGAATTTTTTTAAATTTTTTTTAATTTATTTAATTTGATTTTTATTTATCTTAATATAATATTCTTAAACTAAATAATTAAAATTCTGTTTTATTTCTTACTTATTTCTACTTATCTATTTGTTTGTTTTTTTTTTATATTTTTCTCAATTCTATTTTTTTTTCTCTTTATCAAACACACATTTAGAAAGCATTTGGTAAGAGAAATTTTTTTTTCATACCGAATAATCATGATTTCTGAGAATTATAAATCCTATGTAATTTTTGTAAATAATTAAAATATATTTAATTCCTCATAAAATTATATATTAAGATTTTCTAACGTTAAGAAGAAAAAGTGCAGTGGCACAATCCAAATGCAAAATAAGAAACAGAAATCTGCATTATAAAATATTTCTTATTATATATATATATATATATATATATATTTATTTATTTATTTAAATATGTTTTTAGACCTTATAAAATTGATGATTTTGATTTTGGTCCCTCTAAAATATTTTTTTTATTTTCTTTTATCCTTTTAAATTTTATAAACATTGTTTTTGGTTATTGTAAAATGATTAAATTTTGATTTTGATCCTTATAAGATATTTTTATTTAGTTTTCATTCTTCTAAAACCTAAACTAACTATTTTTAATTCTTAATGATAATTTTAAGGTGGATAAATAACATTTATTTTAAAGATCTATAATTTTTTTTAGATATATTAAATATCAATATAATATCAATAATAATTATAAGTAACACTTAAGATGGTTACTTAACTTTAGATGAAAAACATATTTAGTTTAGGTT